CGCTTCGTGTTGCACTTCTTGGACCCGTGCAACATCCACACAGGTTGGGAACAAAACGGTGCTGGGTAACATTCTATTATGAGCTCAAAATAGTTATGCATATTTGAAACTGAGCAACCAGCTTCCACCAACATTCAGGAAAGAAGAGAAATACACAGAACAGACCAAAGTCGCGACCCACGGCCATTCTAACCTTTACTTTGTGAAATCTTAATCAAACCTTCAGCCTGAGGGAATTCAGGGTCTCCTTAATGTGTGCCAAAAAAAACAGTCAGCTCATTTCATAACGTTCAATTAAAAAGAGCTGAAACTTCTCATTACTTTCAAAAACTTAAATCAACATATGCGCTTTGACACGCAGCACTATTCATAGAAGAGATGAAATATCAACATCCATCGAGCAATTAAAAGCCTATCTATACCTAATTCACATGACGCAAAAAAACTAATAGGAAGTATAAATTTCACACCAAACAGAAATATTACTAAATAAAATAACTTAGTGTGACATATAGTTCACTTACTTTTTGACACAAGCAGCTACGGAAAGTCAAACCGATCACCTCGACGAGAATGATGAGGTCTGGCCAGGGTTGCCTGTCCTTTGGACAGAAGGCACACCTTTTGAATCGGCAGTCTGGCAGATGTCCACGGCAAACTGACTGTGGCAGCAGGTAAGAGGCTCGTGCCAGGCCTAGTAACCAGGCCGGTGTGTTCTGAACAGCAGCAGCAGGCTACTTTGATGGATAAAGTGGGGTGTATACAAAGCACGGACAAGTGGTGATTCAACTGTGGGAGCAGAGCGGCGTGACGGAGCACAGCTTTTCCTTTCCGAAAACCGCGACGTGCTGGCAGGAGACCCCAAGACGTCGATCCAGATTTGTCGCCATTCAGCCATCATAATCTCAGAGCCTTTGCGGCCGTCCTGAGTAATGCACGTTACCTCTCTCTGCCAAGGCACTTGCTCTGCATACGCAGCCAACTGCAGCACCACTGGTTAACCCGCTACAAGGCCGGACCCGCATGGCGCCGCCGCTCCAGCGTGCCCGCTGACAAGCACGCCGCAGGATCAAGTGTGCTTATTGCGATGCTGCTGTAGTCCATTCTCAAGCTGGGAAGGAGTAAGCCTTTGCATTTCTGTTTGTTGCCAGGGTACTCTGTTTTTTTTTTTAAATTTCTCCTTTTAAAAAGTGGACACCAGCCAGCCACACATTCCTCCGAACAAAAGGCCAAGGCTGAGCCGTTACTCCCCATCTGGGGCTTCGCTGGGTCTTCAGCGCAGGCGGAAACAGACGAGAAAATGCAACCCAGTCGGTGAGGAAAAGAATGCTTTGCTTGGGGCTTGGGGGGGTTGATTAATCTCAATAGGACACTGAAGGCTGCCTGTTTATTTTAAACGGGGCAGGAGGTAATTTACCTGCCGTAAGTGCTGACCCCCCAGACTGCAAGCTTCATTTTTGGGTTATGGGGAGGGGGGGGGGTGAACCTTTTAAACCTGGGTGTTCTGGGTACAGTCCATCAAAACTTTGGAAAGCTGCTGTCTCCTTACGTAAACTCGTTTGTCCAAATCTGACCCTCAACGGCTGCTTCGAGAAGCAGAATAAGTACAGCTACACAATGCTGTTTTTGACCATGTATCGTATATACAATAATACAAGAAATGGCTTTCCCTTAATAACGGTGATTTCACTAGTTTTTATGACCGCTTCGGTCAAAGTATTAACTAAATGGCCAAAAGTTTTAATTTAGCCGGTCGGCTAAAAGGGACCACATTCTGAACAGACAATGGACAGAATATGGTATGTTGTACATTCCTCTCTCTCATCACACGCACAAGACAACGACTGGCCTTTGCGCTGTTAGAAGACCTGTGATCTTTAACAAGGTGTTTCCTCCTGTAACACTCCCCGGTCTGACAGGACTTTTGGATGTATCTTCTGCTGCTGGAGTGAGGAACAAGTCCAGAAAATGCCAAAAAGAACAAACGGCAGCCAGCGTCCATCAGACACCCTCAGCTGACACTCACACAGACTGATGTGGGATTGATTTTTTTGAGTATTCTCAGTAGTTGTCTGGGTGACAAACAGTGACCCTCTATCTCACACTGTTCAGGTGACTCCCCGGATCTCTCTCAGGCTCCTGGTCCCAGCCAGGTCACCTCCCAGATGAACCTCACAGCGGCTTACTCCTCAATCGACTAGACATGTACTCCGAATAGCCCAGATCCAAAACTATTGAAATGCAGAACAGACGAGTAGACATTCAACTCTATAGCTGGTTGAAGCATAACCTTTATTTAATACATTGGGACTGGGTTGTTAACATAATCAGACCTCAGCATGCCTACTGGGAGATCTTTATGCAATGAACTATGGATTTGGTGGATGTAGATTTGTTTTAGTTACATGGTGTACGGCTTCTGGATAATGGAATTACAAAATGGCCCATAGAAAACTATGACCTTGGCGTATTTGGCACTTGGTAACAAAAAGAACCTCACTGCTGTGCTCCAGTGAGGGGTTTAAGCTGAGGGAGGGAGGGAGGGGGCGTGGCCTCTTGGATATTTTCTACCAAACCGGACACAGTCTTTCTAAGACTGCTTTTGTAAGGGGGGGGAGGGGGGGCACAGCCTAGATGTTGACCAAGTGCTAAGCCGAATAAAGACACTCATACAGACTTAAATAACGCAGCACAATAACTAACTTTCTGACCTCACTGTAGCCCCACGGGGGGAGCACAACCAGCGACTCTCCCCTCATCCGAAAACCACAACGGCAGCAAACAGGAAATGAGGAGCTCACGTCCTGCGGGTGGTGTGTACGTGCGGTGGATGAGGGTGGTACACCCTCACGCTGCATTACCACTATACATGCTAACTAACCTGGTCAGCGCTGCCTCTTTTGAATGGCTGTGTTAGGTGGGACGTTGGCTGTATTGTGGCAATTGGAGTTTGTTTAGTGTTGTGAGCATCACCTTTTTCTTTTAAGAATATTTTGTTTTCTACACATAACTGCCAGACACAGTTATAAATGGCAAATGATTAATTAATATGGAGCTGAATTTCTGGAAAAACAAAAGCCAATAAATTACAATAATGTACTTCTGTAAGGTGAGGGGCTCTGCTTTCAAGAAACCTAATTTGCTTAACCCCCGCACCCCCACAGGTGATCTGTACTGGATACACGCGCACACACATCACCTGGGAGCTGCATTAGGCTCAAATAGTCAGAAGCATCTAAAATGTATAGAAAAATGACAAATCATTCTATAGATTCTGGAGGACTTCAAAACTCATTCCTGTTTAAAAGTCTGTGGAGTGAGACAATTAAACAAATGAATATTAAACTAAAGAATTTTACATAATTCGTTTTTGCATGCAGTTAGAATACATGACAACACAAATAACAGCAAAAACACGGAAAGGTAGGCAAATATTTTGTAGCGAAATCAAGCTGAAACGCTGTTTTGAGAATTAATCAAGGTATTAAAAGCGTTGCATTAACCCAGCCACAGTGCGTTTGACATTTCCACATCAAACCAGGTTAATTATTTGCAGCGGGAAATGTGAAAGTGTTTTTCACTGCAGGAGTTTATTTTATATTAATAGTAGTCCAGCTTTCGGACGTCGACGTAAATGAATCCTCTATCATCATGCATACGATAATACTGATGACAGACAGTGTTTCTCCATTGCTCCTTTCAGCATCATATAGCTGAGCGTAACAGTATCAGTAATAATTTCACAGCCAATTTATTTCCAATTTTAAATAAACGAAAAACTTCATATGAGAATTATAACAGTCAAGCGATATGTTTGGAACAAGCATGGCAACTTTTTCCTCCTAATGTCCATCGAGTCTAGCTGCTGTCTACCAATAATCAAAAGACAATATTATGCACTTCAACGCAAGTGTCGCGTTTCACAATGAAACACAATTTAGACTTTTATTAAATCTTATAAAGAAACGACATCTTAATTTTTATTTAAGATTTTGTATTGTATTTTCCATACGATTCCCACGTTTCAATGATTGGATGTTCAGCTATTTCTATTTTTTTGTTATTTAATTTTTTTAAGGAAAACCAAAGCACATTTTGACATACTGTATACCAAAAATGGATTCGCAGCGGTGCTTTCACTTATTCAATTTGTCTTTATGGAAATAGTGCATTTCGATTCAATCAATTTAGTACGTACAACTTCACGTAGGCTAATAAGTTTTCACTTAATAAGAGACACAATGTACAATATATCGGCAGTAAAAGTTAACCTTTAAACCCCTTGAGGTGTAACGTACTAGATTAATCTTCTCACGTTATTTCAGCTCCTCGACAATAACTCCGACACTCAACCAGTTATGTCAGTCAGCGCTTCTGAAATTGCCTAAACAATTTCATTCAGAAATCTCGAGTACTAAATGGGGTAATAGCTTATGTCAAATAATGATCGAAACACATCAGCCATTATGATTAATTACTCAAATTCAATGCATTTAGGTGACGTAAATGGCACTGAGTGAACGCATGACTTTTAACACGAGCTAGACGGACACCCCGGTGAATTATAGGTGCCCACTAATGACATTAGGTACTTTGCGCTAATAACATCAAATTTAAGGTCAAATTTTAGAAATATTGGATGTTTCTTTGAAGTGTTACATTTGAAATTCGAATCTATTGGGAATATAGAATACAGAAAGAACTTAAAACATAACATATATAAATGGAAACAGATTTAACTGTAAATGCCAACGATGAGAATCACACGAGGTATTAAAGCAACAACGAAGTACGTATACAACAATAAGAATTAAGAAAGAATACTTTTCCAGACATTAACCGTGGAGTCCGGCTGCAGGAAATACTACAAAAGCGTGAATGCAACAAGTTGAAACAACTTAAATGAAGAGTTTGTTTTTTTGCACTACGCGGAACAGGGACTGCTCTTGTGACAATACCAGATGTTGAGCGGTTTATTTAATTTTTTTAATCAAACCAACCTGTCTTCGTGCAGCTCTGCAAACAGCTATTTTACGCTAGGACCGTCGCTCAGTCGGACGAAATACCTGTAGCTTAAGACAGCACTTCTTCTACAAAAGCCCCAGTGTTCCCAGTTCACCGATGCTTGGCGCTGATACCGAGTGGGGAGAGTAAACTCCAACAGCGACCATGATGCGCCCGTGTAAAGCTTAGCCGTGAAGCATCTGGCGGCACCGCGAACCCAGACGGCGGCTGTGCGGCTGGATTTTAACGCTCACTTCGTTTTTATGCTCGCTTTGCTCTCCTTGCCTGAGAAATTTCATACTTAAACCACAGTTGCCGACGTCAGTGACCACACCCTCCCAAATATGCCGCTATCCTTTGCTTTTCACCAGTATGGAGTAGGTAGTTTGTTTATTTCTTTTGTTAATGTTGAGGATATGCCTCATTGTAAATTTAACTTTCTAAACGCATTATCATAGATGAACACGAGGCTTTTGGAGGGGAAAATTGGATAAGATCTAGTGTCATTACCTTTATACATTGTTTTGTAATATATGATAAATCTCTGGTATACAAAATGACACTTTAGCAAAAACCGTAAAAATGCAGAATTATATTCAAATGCTTTTTGGTATTTTCTGGATTTTTTGGAATCATACACACCCTGCTATTAATTTTGCCTAGCAGAACGTTTGTTATATTCCATCTGTTGTATAAAGCACAGTGATTATTCAGATATTTCTCTTGATAAGAGTATGCGATTTATTACATTGCGTTAAACTGAACTTCTACTTGCACACATTACCGTTCCTGAACATCTGAACCTGGAGGTATTCCACAAAGCGGGTCTTTTTCATTATAACTTAACTTAATCAAAATGTAAGGATTGTCCAATAGGAATGTCACTTACCTCTCTTCCTATTGGACAATTTCCACGTTTCGCTTAAGTTATCCAACTAACTGCTGAATTCTACTTTGTGCAACACCCCCCTGTTCACAAGTTAACTAAACGTTCTCAGTTGCGCCCAGTGTCTATTTAAATAAATAAACAAACAAATATGTATTTGTTTGTTTGTTTATTGAGCAGGATGAAGCCATATTAAATATTGTTGGGTACACAACTTAATTTAATAATTTAAATGTGCAGATCTATTTTCTTTTGGGGGGGGGGATAGAGACAAATTAAATATTGGGGGGTTGCCTGTCCCCCTTGCTGCTCTCCCCCCCCATCCCAGTTCCTATGCCCTTGGTTACGCCTGCAGTAAAGAACAAATAACCTGCTCTCTAGTAATTAGCTGGCACCTGTCTTAATGTAACTATTTTCCATATTTCAGTTAGAAGTTGTGGCTATACAGGTATCCGCTGAGTCATACAGCAAACAGCTGGTGTCTTGTACTAAATGGAAAAGGATAATGCTGTATTAAAAGTAGTCTGCAAAACGTGTATAATTTCCTGGTCTCTGCTTCCCAGTAGTACTTAAATAAATAAACAAACCAAAGAAGAAACATGTTTGCCAAAGCCATGTATAGAGACAACTGGACGACACAAAATACAAGAGTAGTTATTGCATATTACAATAATGGTGTGTGAATTGTAAATCACTGAACGGTACAGTGATTACAGAATGCAGTGTTCTGCTAATTGCTGCCTGACAATGTGCATCCCAGGGGCTGAGCGGTTATGGAAATGATAAAATGTTTATCAACTGCATAGAAAACATCATTTGCTTTAGCTAAGTTTTAAAAGGGAGCAGGTGGTTTTGGAAAAACAGCGCTGTGACTTAATTTAGTGTTGAATTTATTTCATTATTTTAGAAATTATTATTTTCAAGCTGTTCAAATTAAACTGCACCATGCATTTAATTGAAGGCCCCACTCAAAATCACACTGAACGGTTTCAAAATGCATGGTGATGTAGTTTGGGTAGAACATTGGACTGAAATGATGATGGTCAACATGTTTGCGCTCTTGCAAATGCGAGGTAAACGGAAGATAGATTAAATGAAGGGCGAGTATTGACAAATATCTGAAAGCATTTGGATCGCAGTTGAAATCAGGACATTACAACCGCTGCCTGTATAGATATTCCTCTAACAATTTAACTATGCAGCCATTATAAACAAACTTAATAAAACAGATTAGATCCTGATTAAAAATCAATTTAATTCTCCTTTGGTTACACTACAATTTATAGTCGTCACTTGTGAAGTTTTTTCGTTTGATGTTTTGAAAACATATTATGTAACATGTACCCCCTAATCACAGTCTAGCCTTAATTCCATCATGAAATACAAAACACATAGTTATGGGAAATATTTAGCTGATTTCACCCAACAGATGAGTCCCAGTGAAATCTAGAGACAAGATGGCTTCGATCATTTCAAGGGCCTTTATACCAAGGTAAAGATGGAGTGTTTTTTTCAGCCCACTGCACCACCCAGCAAGGAACACAGTACGCCAAGGAGGAGAACCTGCTGTTCCCACTTGTTCCGTCTTTCTGCCCCAAACTTGGATTAATTTGGGACATGGGGTGACGTCTTCAACCCTGCATGTTGTGTACGTCTTTGCCCCAGACTCAGGCAAAGACACAGTCACGCTAAATCGTTCCTTAATCATTTCTAATCTGTGTTTGGTGCTGCTGTGTTCTGTGTATAAAGAGTAATGGTAGTAAATTGGGACGAACTGCAGCCAGCTAATGGAACCTGTCTATTGCTGCACTAATGGAGAACATTAGGCCTGGATATTCAGCTTGTCTATATGGGAACAGGGGCTGATTTCTGCACACGATTCAAGAGAAAGTAAAGCATTTATCAAAAAAAGGGTCCTGCACTCTTTAATCTGGTAGAACTTTGACCGGTGCTTCTGTATGAAGCTTGTACAGATGGCAGTTCGCTTCTTCAAATTGTTTTCAGTTTTGCTCGCCAGTGAGGAGGTCATTTTGATAGCTAATATTTGGAACTCAGATTCCTAGAAAGAAGTAACTGAATGTAGCCAGGTAACATGTGGACACAGCCATTGCCAACTTGCCTTGACAAAACGCAAAAGGGAGAGCAGCATGTTTGGGGACTTGACTGAAGACATCTGAGTCATGCTGTTTCCGAGACGGCAGATAAATGCAAGCCATGGCTGCATCATGCTGGTATGACTGGCTAAACCAGGTAGAATGTCCATCATCAGCTGGTATGACTGGCTAAACTGGCCTTGTCAATTGGTCAACCAGCTTAGCCAGCAGAGGAGAGTCTCCTTCTGAGAGGGGTTTAAACCCCCAGCCTGTTAGGAAGCTGTTTCTGTCATTCATTATGCGGCTTGTGCGTCGCATTCCCCAAAGGTAAGCCTTTACACGTGACGCCCACTGAAGCAGTAATGTGCAGTTAGAAATGCGACAGAGTCAGACACTCATTGCATTTCGCATGTATGATCACGTCCGCCGCGCGGTGATGCATGCTGTCCTGTTCTGCAGAACAGCCCTGCTCACCGTACGCAATAAAGACGCCCTCCAGCTACACTCAGGGCACAAATAAATAAACCAAAGGTAACAAAGCGGGAGCTGACGTTTTCACACATATATCAGCCAGGGTGGGCAAACAAATGTAGCTTTAAAGCCGCACAATGTCCTCCAGCAAGATCGCCCTACTGTCAGCATTATTTACTGCCTGCTGGCTATTGCAGTATGCGTGGACATGCTGGTGTCCCTGGGCTGACAGGTCTCCCAGACCCCCCCCCCACCACCACTGATATGATGTCCCAAGGCAGCGCAACAGGTGGATGGCAGGAAACTTTTTTCCAGAAGGACGTGACCACTTATGTTTTATGACGCCCTTTATGAATCACTTCAAGAGGAGTTTACATGTTGGTCTGCAGTGTGCAGTGTCACAAATCTGCGAAGTACGCATTCTGTTTTCTTACATAGCAATGTTTATTTTGAATGTTATGATGCAAATGACCTTTTAGAGAAGCATACACTACACGCTGCTTGCCCACACTGCCTCGGCCCGTGGCAACTCCGCGCGGCATCCGTCCAACTACTCGATCCTCGCCTGTTGCCATGGGATTTTTCCATGTTCTGCAGATTGACCGCAGGGCCAATAATACATTTAAAGTGAATCGATGGGAGATCTTGTGAGCACAAACACCTTCCATTTTAAGGATGTCTGAATAAACAGCAGCCTTAACCCCTAAAACCCAGTCTGCTAAAATGGATAACCATCTGTAAATATGCATACTTAATCTCCTCTGACATTTCACACAGCTGCAAGAAGGCAATCACTCAATTACATGATGATGTCTAACAAATGAGGGTGTTTCCCAGCACCTCCATAGAGGATCTGATTCCAGGGTTGCCACCTGCCCCGTATAATATGGGATGCAGCAGTTCTTCCATTAAGGGATGATCCCGTATTATAAGAGACTGGTGGAAACCCTAAACTCATGCTCCTTGGGTGGCAACCCTAAACTCATGCTCCTTGAGCTTCGAGGTCATGTGATCAGGCAGCCACGCCAGGAAACTGGGATGGAAGGTTAAAGCCAGTTCTGCCATACTGGTAGTGCACCTGACAGAGGTGGATAGTTCTGGTCCATAAAGTAAAAATCCAGACCAAGATTTTGTTTCAACCAACCAGTTAAGTACTCTGTGACTCATGCTGAACCAGATAGATTTAAAAAAAAAATCTTGGACTGGATTTTTACTTACTGGACCTGAATTATCCACTGGTACCTAAACTGCATCAGTAATATATCCTATTTCGCAAATGAATAATAGGTACGTATTTGATAGATGGCTGTGTGACGGAGTAGATGGACACCATTGGCTTGGGCACCGATGCGAAACAGCATCCAGTCTCGCATGGGAAGAAAGCCCACAAACAAAGTCTGGAAGATTATTTATTGCGAGAAAGAGCGTCACACTCTGTTCATTTTGTCTGAGGGAGGATCTGTCTGCTTCAGGAGGCCAATTAAATCGTCCCAAAAATGCCCTATTCATCACTTGTGAAATTAATTTATCACAGTGAAATCGCAAGATACATTTTTCCCCTCCCGTGAAGGCCAGGGCCAGGAGAGATTAGGAAAACCTTGGCTCTGAAATGCGATCACAGACACATTAATGTACGGCCTGTTCTCCACTCTCGCAATAGCTCACATTCTTCCCGCGATGCCTGATCCATGGCGGCTGGCATTGAACTCGCGCCCACCCCCCCCCACCCCCCCGCTCCTGATGTTTATCACAGATCTTCTGTACAGATACTCCCTCACCTCTGTAACGAAAACAGCTTTGGTGTACGGCCTACGGCACAACAGAGACCATGATATGGTCACTCTCACCTTTAA